TATACACAGGTTACACTTTTAGTCAAAATAATAGTTTATATACAATTTGATTAGTAATTGTAAAATATACAGTTAAAATTATTTATTTGTGATATACCTATGTATGACTTAATGCAAGTATAGAGATTAGTAAAATAAAAAAATTATAATTATTTGAATTAATTATGAAATTGTATTTCATTCTTATCATAAATACTCATATTTTATAAATTAGTTCTCAAAGACATATTATATATATAAATGTGAAGATAACATTAGTACAAAATTTATGAAAAATACTAAATGTAATTTTGTTTAAAAGTTTAATTATTTTCTTAAGGAACATAAGTTAATCCCACAAATTAATTCATAAAAAGAATGATTATTAGATGTAAAATAATAATTGATCTAGGAATAGAAACAGTTTAAAGAAAAGAAAACTTGCAACTATTCCTCTTGATCAAACGTTCCAAAACTTTCAATTTGGCTCTGTTCGTTCCCAAATCAGGAGAACCTCAGCACAAACCAGCGACTGCTCTTTTCAAATCTACTCCGAATGAATTTCTGTAAAAGCGAAAGGAGCGAAAGCATGTGTGAGTTGATTGAGAGATACCTGAAGGCGCTAAGGTCTGTGTAGCGAACGGAGCCATTATCATTCTCCTCAGAGTTCTTAAGCATGATGATGAGAGCCGTCACAGAGAGAACAATGGGGAACAGACGCAGCAACGTCTCCACCACGCGTAGGAAGCTGCTGTTGCCTTCAAATTCCTCATGCGTTCCTTCACCTCCTATCAGTCGTTTGTCAGATCTCGAATTTTGAAGAACTCCACTTCCCTCTTCCATAGCTATTCTGTTATTTTGAAATGTGCATGAATTAGGTTATGATATAGCCCATCTATCCGCTCGAGGCTAAGGCCAATTCAATGTGCATCATGTCATTAAAATATGACTACTACCGAAAATGCTATATAAAAGGTCATTTTCTCTCTGGAGTCTTGTCTTATGCTGTGATAATCAAGATACCTCTCAAACGAGATCATAATTGATTGTTAGAGTCGGTTTTTCCTTTGATTTGAAGTCTTCATTTATAGCAATTTTCTTTTAGACCTAAAGAAAAACAATATTTTCAATTACCTTAAATGCTGGCTGAATGGTACGTGATATGATGATGGTGAGAGTAATAAATTTTGGAAGGGGACATCTCATCGAATTTATGATCGGACTCTAGGAAAGTGAGACACCTACTTGTTCACTTGTTGGCTTAAATTATTACTTTCATAGACGGTGAAATTGAGGCAATTATAAGCCATAAATTTCCACTTAAAGTGGGTTCTGCTTCTTAATTTTCTCACCCACCTTAACAGCATCTATTCAGAATTATATATTATGCACCATAAGATTTTTCATCACTCATGTATACTGTAAAAACTAGTTTTATCTTTAACCCAAAACCTTGATGTAGGAATGGTGCTAGATGCAGTCGAACAGATCCACACATAGTCCTTTTTACTGCTCAAGATAGTGAAGATTGGGGATTTGATAACTGAAGAGTTTGAAAAAAGAAGTCAAAGTGATCGAATTTTCATTAATTATTGACGGATGAAGATTGAGTCTTTATGAAAACGAAATAAAGTTAATTCAATCAAATAGATCAATAATACGACAAGTAGTTTCAATTTCGCTACAATACAAATGAATGCAGACCGACCACGTGTACAATTTTCAGTGGGATATAGTCCTAACCTAAGACTAAGCCGCATCTATTGATTTATAATAAAGGCGAAATTTTCTTACATGGATGAAAAATAAAAATTAGGAAAATGATACTTGAACAATCATTTTTGACAACATTTAGACATGCGCACATGTGTCAAAATCTGAGTGGTCCATTTTCATTTAATTTTTCCAACTGGACCACTCAGATTTTGACACGTGTGCGCGTGTCTAAATGTTGTAAAAAATGATTGTTCAAGTGTCATTTTCCTAAAAATTAATACAGTTTTTAAACAATCTTATTCCTGCAAAAAAAAATCTTTTATATGCAAACTTTGATGTAATTTATATGGGAAAAATTAAAATAAAATAGCTAATACGTTTAATATCAATGCATAACAAAATTTATTAGTAATTTATTTTTATCTGAATTTTTGATATAGTTTGGTTTTTAAATTTTAAAAATAAATAAATATAATTTTTTTAGTATAATTAGATTAAATAAATATATATTTATTTTTAAAATTCAGATATCAAAATATATTAAAGTTACTTTTTAATATAAAAAATTTGAAACCGAATACATATTTAATCTTCGTAATAATAAAAGAAAGTGAAAATGTAATTGTAATTTATTATAGAAATAAGTAATTATTAAAAAGCTTAGAATTAAATAATAAAATAGGGGGGGTGTATGAACGCAACATCATACAGCTGAATCCCATTGGGCTTACCAAACAGAGACATCTTCCAGCATCGGAGATATCCACTTTCCATCAACATGGGATGGAATGAGACACAATGCAACTTACAAGGACTTCACCCTTATCCAAACTTCTTCTCAATTTCACTATCCTTGCACTCGCCTTACTTTCATCTTCAAACCCTTTTCAAAATTCAATCATTTCTTTTATTCCTTATATTCTCATTTTTTTTATAATGTCTATCTTATAGGAATTCATATACGGACTTTTTCTTGGGTTTCGAATCCATCCAACAAGTTTCAACAATTTACAAATTTTTATGCTCTAATTTCTTAAACCTAAAACTAGATTTTAGAAAATATATTTTTAGTCTCAAATGTAACATTAGACTTTAACGTTAAAAATATGTTTTGACAGTGGTGGGAGTTGCAGTTGGGGGAACAACAAATATCCAGATTCGGATAAAGCCGAATCTTACTCTGTCTGTCAAAAAAGATTATGATAAAATTGATAATGCGAATAGAAAAATAGCACGTACTAATCTTATCCAACACATCTCAAAGCCTTGCTTATAAACCGTCCAAGTCTTCTCTTCACAAACACAAAAAGGTACTCGTGATTCTATTTAAAGCGCACCTTTAGAACAGAGAAAAGTGTGTTTTCACGCATTCAGTGCCAGCCACAGATACAAATCGTTGCGTGTGGTTTATTGCTGGGAAAGAAGAACAATAAAGGTGAGACATTAAAACCCTCAAAGGGGTATTTCAGAAACAAGATTTGATAGGAGATGGAACAGCCAAAGTATAAGGTTGTCGAAGCTGATGATAACAGCGGACCAGTTAATGAGTGTGCCCTTGCTCGTTCTTTTTCTTTTTCTGAGTCTGAGTCTGAGTCTGAGCCTGGAATTTCAACTGCTTCATCGTCGGATTCTGATTCCTTTGAAGAAGTTACATCCTCTGTTTCTTCTTCTACTTCTTCTTCTTCTTCAGCTGATCAGTTTGCAACTGAACCGTTGAATGATATGTCTTCTTTGTTTCAACAACTTCCTCTCAAGTAAGCTTCTTTTTCCACCCCTTTTTTTCTCTCTATGAGATTTTGTTCTTAGTTTGTAAAAGTTCCGAACACTTTTGTTTTCACAGTTCAAAAAGAGTTACTTTCTAGAATACAATATATTACACCATGTGATTGTAAGAATCGTTTATGTATGAGTATATATACTGTTTACTCGATCAGTAATCTTATTGTCATGCATGGCAACTGTGAAAGAAAAGTTTGCAATACCATTATTGTGTTTGATTTTGCTTATAAAATTTTCTGTGCGTAGGAGGGGGCTTTCCAAGTATTACCAGGGAAAGGCAGAATCTTTCACTTCGTTGGAAAAAGTGAGGAGCTTGGAGGATCTTGTGAAGCCAGAGAATCCTTACAATAAGAAGTTAAAGTCTTGCAGAAGCAATGGAGTGGTAATGGGTGAGTGTGAGAAAGCAAAGTGCACTGCTTCTTCTTCTTCTTGTAGTGAGAACTTCATGGTTAGAATAGCTCCAATCCTACCTCACAGATCTTCCACAGCCACCACCATTCCTAATCAAACTGCTTTGCTTGTTTGAATGGGGTTGAAGAAACAGTTTGTGATCTAATAGTTTTTTAGTTCTTTTGGTAAATTGATTACTAGTTGAGAGTAATTTGGTGTTAGAAATTTCCAGTCATAATCTTTAAAAATGTAATTAGTGCTTTGTTGATTTAATTAGTTTTTTTTCCTCAAACAAAATGGATAAGAAGCTTAAGTTTAGAACATCCACTGGGAATAAAATGGTTATTATAAAAGAGATTAGTGATTTATAATTGGCTGATGATGCGAAAATTATTTAATCTGTTATTAGCGGCGCTTTCCAAACTATAATTAAGGCATATTATATATATATATATATATATATATATATATATATATATATATATATAAAAGCATTTTGTAAAAAAAAGAATCATAAAAAAATAAAATAAAAACTTGGTATTTTTTGAATGACAAAAAAATATCAAATTGTTAATCTAATTGATTGAGTAAATCCTTTCTAAACAACAATATCAAATAAGTATACATACCTCAACATGTTGATAATATCAAAATATTTTAGGATGAAATTGAAATTAATACTATTTAATGCGTAGCAAAGAATTATTAAATGTGGTAAGTTACTTCATTTTACTTATTCATTATATTTTGTAAATGAAGATAGTTTTTTTTTNTTTATAATGTCTATCTTATAGGAATTCATATACGGACTTTTTCTTGGGTTTCGAATCCATCCAACAAGTTTCAACAATTTACAAATTTTTATGCTCTAATTTCTTAAACCTAAAACTAGATTTTAGAAAATATATTTTTAGTCTCAAATGTAACATTAGACTTTAACGTTAAAAATATGTTTTGACAGTGGTGGGAGTTGCAGTTGGGGGAACAACAAATATCCAGATTCGGATAAAGCCGAATCTTACTCTGTCTGTCAAAAAAGATTATGATAAAATTGATAATGCGAATAGAAAAATAGCACGTACTAATCTTATCCAACACATCTCAAAGCCTTGCTTATAAACCGTCCAAGTCTTCTCTTCACAAACACAAAAAGGTACTCGTGATTCTATTTAAAGCGCACCTTTAGAACAGAGAAAAGTGTGTTTTCACGCATTCAGTGCCAGCCACAGATACAAATCGTTGCGTGTGGTTTATTGCTGGGAAAGAAGAACAATAAAGGTGAGACATTAAAACCCTCAAAGGGGTATTTCAGAAACAAGATTTGATAGGAGATGGAACAGCCAAAGTATAAGGTTGTCGAAGCTGATGATAACAGCGGACCAGTTAATGAGTGTGCCCTTGCTCGTTCTTTTTCTTTTTCTGAGTCTGAGTCTGAGTCTGAGCCTGGAATTTCAACTGCTTCATCGTCGGATTCTGATTCCTTTGAAGAAGTTACATCCTCTGTTTCTTCTTCTACTTCTTCTTCTTCTTCAGCTGATCAGTTTGCAACTGAACCGTTGAATGATATGTCTTCTTTGTTTCAACAACTTCCTCTCAAGTAAGCTTCTTTTTCCACCCCTTTTTTTCTCTCTATGAGATTTTGTTCTTAGTTTGTAAAAGTTCCGAACACTTTTGTTTTCACAGTTCAAAAAGAGTTACTTTCTAGAATACAATATATTACACCATGTGATTGTAAGAATCGTTTATGTATGAGTATATATACTGTTTACTCGATCAGTAATCTTATTGTCATGCATGGCAACTGTGAAAGAAAAGTTTGCAATACCATTATTGTGTTTGATTTTGCTTATAAAATTTTCTGTGCGTAGGAGGGGGCTTTCCAAGTATTACCAGGGAAAGGCAGAATCTTTCACTTCGTTGGAAAAAGTGAGGAGCTTGGAGGATCTTGTGAAGCCAGAGAATCCTTACAATAAGAAGTTAAAGTCTTGCAGAAGCAATGGAGTGGTAATGGGTGAGTGTGAGAAAGCAAAGTGCACTGCTTCTTCTTCTTCTTGTAGTGAGAACTTCATGGTTAGAATAGCTCCAATCCTACCTCACAGATCTTCCACAGCCACCACCATTCCTAATCAAACTGCTTTGCTTGTTTGAATGGGGTTGAAGAAACAGTTTGTGATCTAATAGTTTTTTAGTTCTTTTGGTAAATTGATTACTAGTTGAGAGTAATTTGGTGTTAGAAATTTCCAGTCATAATCTTTAAAAATGTAATTAGTGCTTTGTTGATTTAATTAGTTTTTTTTCCTCAAACAAAATGGATAAGAAGCTTAAGTTTAGAACATCCACTGGGAATAAAATGGTTATTATAAAAGAGATTAGTGATTTATAATTGGCTGATGATGCGAAAATTATTTAATCTGTTATTAGCGGCGCTTTCCAAACTATAATTAAGGCATATTATATATAAGAGAAAGATATATATATATATATATATATATATATATAATCATTACAAGGGAATCAATAGTTGATTGATCAATAAATTGAACTGATGACAAATTTTATTATAATAAGCTCTAACTAATACATCAGATACTAAGAAGAACTTTAAGTAAAATTTTCAATAAATATTGTAGTATTTAATTCACCACTTTATTATTTATTGTTAGTAATTTTATTTAAATATTTTTTAGAATCAAGTGAGTGAATTAGAGTTGTTTATAAGGAAGATATTAATAATTATTTGTATAATTCAATTTTACATATTTATATTTTTTATTTAGATGTATAAAATTATATCTTTAGTATGATTCATTTGAATTTATTTTCTAAAAATTAATTCTATTTACATTAATGGTTATAATATATATTATGAATATAAAATAAAAATATTTAAAGTATTTTTAACGTATTTGTAAATATTTATGAATATAAAATAATCCGTAAAACAGATAACAATTTATATAATATGACGGATTTTTTTTACGGAATAAATAGCAGCTATTTATAATCTAGTGAACTCCATTTACCAACATAATATATTAAAATTTACATGTACTAAGTAGTAACATTGGAAAAAAAATGTATATACAAGATGTATCTTAAAATATAAAAAGAAAAATAATATTATATAATAAAATGTAATACTATGTTAGACGAAATAGTGCTTATTATATAAAGAATTGTATTATTTATACATAATTATTAAAAGAAGTATGACATTAAATTAGACTGGGATAACTCAAATTATAATATACTTCAACCTTAAAATATATTACAATATTGTTTTTATTAAATTTAATCCTATCAAAAGTTGTTTTTAGACTTAAATGTTTACTTGTCTTCTTATTGAAATGTGAATTTTTGTTTAGTATCCGGTTTTAAAAATGAACACATTGGATCCCTATGTTATGAAAAGTATATGTATAAGGTCATGTCCGTTAAGTTGACAGTAACGGTATGATGTAGTCATATTTTTTCTCTTCTCTCTTTTGTTGTCCAGTATTTTTTACTCTTGTTCAATTTTTTTTTAATGATTTGTTGAACTTGTTTTTACGGACTTTATTTATATATTTTTTATAACATAGGACTCATGTCTTCATCTTTAAAACCGAATACTAAACATAAATTCACTTCTTAACATAAAAGTAAACATTTAAACATTATTTTTAACTCAGACCCAACACTGAGAAAAATATTCGAATCATAAGAAATCCATAAAATACTTAGTACAAAGTATTTATCACCAACACTATTTTTTCCAGTTCGAATAGATTTTTTCTAACTAATACCTATAATTTTTTACTAAAAATTTATCCATATTTATAGAATATTTATGAAAAACAATACTTTATAAAATCACATTTAAAATTATGTGAGATATGAAATTACAACATCTCAAGAAGTTAATCCTTATTTCTTGGTTGAGGATGAAAAAAATATCATAAAAAAGAAATATATATATATATATATATATATATATATATATATATATATATATAAAAGCATTTTGTAAAAAAAAGAATCATAAAAAAATAAAATAAAAACTTGGTATTTTTTGAATGACAAAAAAATATCAAATTGTTAATCTAATTGATTGAGTAAATCCTTTCTAAACAACAATATCAAATAAGTATACATACCTCAACATGTTGATAATATCAAAATATTTTAGGATGAAATTGAAATTAATACTATTTAATGCGTAGCAAAGAATTATTAAATGTGGTAAGTTACTTCATTTTACTTATTCATTATATTTTGTAAATGAAGATAGTTTTTTTTTCAATTATCAATAGTTCAATGACAAATTCCGAAAAATATTGCAATCCTTACGAGAAGAAGCCCAAATAGCCCATAAAGTCCACATATGACCCAATTAATAGCGATGTGAGTTTTCCTCGCATAAACAAATACTTGTTTTTGCGTTTAACCTTCTCAGTTGCCGCGGAGGAGTGTGGCGAACGCCAAAGGAGGGCACCGAACAGTTTTTACTTCGTTTGAATCAATGGTTTGTTCTTCTTTTCTTCATTTTGCTAATTTGTTTTTCTATTATATTTTCATCTCTTCCCCCATTCATGCACATAGATTGGGTGTTTCTTGCAGTATTACCGCATATACTGAATACCATGATCTTCACAATTTCAAATTAATTTTGGATGTTACATTGTTGTCGTATCCATCTCTTGCTAATTGATATTTGCTTCTTACAGCGTTTCCTCGTGTTTTGTTGAACTCTGTGTTTTGTTGGGTTAATTGTTATTTTTCTTTTCTTGGTATATGAATTATCCTAATTGAATGATGGCTGCTGAGTGATAAAACGGAATGATGGGGCAGTGTGAAGGAGAATAGAAAAAATTGTGTTTTTGGTGGGGTTGTCAGTTAATGAACTGGAATGCCCTTTCTCTTAGCTTTTGTTGATCACGTTTATTTCTCGTGTTGCTGTTTCATATTCTAGATTCTCTGAAAAAATTATAGTTTTGACTTCGTTGTTCTCTTTGATCAATGTAGTTTCTATCAGTTACCAGAACCATGGGGTTATTCTTGGCTGGTGAAGTAACCATTGAAGTTCCTTACTTTTATAATTTGTTGAATTTATCTTCGTGGTGTTTCTACTGTGAATGTTTTGTTTGCTTTCAAATTGAAGTTGCTTGTTAGAACCTCGTGAATTTCAATCATTTTTGGAATGAGCAAATTACAATTAACGAGCGCACATGGATACGGTTGTATGAAAAAAACCTGAATGGCTCTCGCTTTTGTATTATTGATTCAATTTTGCTTTTTTTCTGATTGCAGGAAAGGAGCTAGTGTGCTTGTCTTTGATATTAGGGACAAATTGTAACTTCAGTGTTTTTCAAAGGGTTCTTCTGATTTCTATATACCCTCTTATATAGTTCCTTTTCTAACTCATTTTCAATGAACCCTGTGCTAAAGGACAGCAACACAAAAGCCACATCAAAACTACCCCGAAAGGGAAAAAGAAAAAAGAAGGGTCTGGGAGTAACGGATCCTCAAGTAGCAGAAAACCCATCAAAATTCTCATTTGCTATAGCCAAAATTGCAGTTGCCCAAATCTGTCAATCAGCTGGATTCAAAAAGTCCGAAAACAATGCTCTTGAAACCCTAACTGCTGTTTCCACTAGATATCTGGAAGCAATTGTGAGATCAGCTGCCTCATTTGCTAATGCCTCCAATCGTACTGACTGCAATCTCTTTGACCTCGTCAATGGCATTCATGATCTTTGTTCTGTTCAAGGATTTCCGGGTGGTTCAGCGTTGCACAAAGACGACCTGCTTAGGTCTTCAGCTCTAAGAGAGATTATGAATTTTGTCAACCTCTCTGATAAAGTTCCTTTTGCTAAACCAATTCAATGTAGAAATGATTCTGATGTAACCATTGATTCTGGTACATTAATGTGCTGCTCTAACCAAGCCAAAACTCACATACCAAGTTGGCTCCCACATTTTCCTGAGCAAAACTGTGATCAGGTTTTAGTTAAGGAGAGGAAATGTGGCGAGAAATATTGGGAGCATTCATTTGCTGTGGACGAAAACAGTGTCATATCACAGAGCAATCACATGAATGGAAAAGAAGGGAAAGACACAGGGAGGGAATTGCCAGAGCGAAGAGAAAGAATGAAGTTTAAAATTAGAGGGGAGGAGAAGCAAGTTGGATTGGGTGTGAATATGATGAGTGGGGTTTGTAAAGGAAGGAAACGAGTGTTTTGGAATCATAACAAAATGAATGGTTGTATTATTGAGAACAACAAAGATGAGAAAAGATAGCATGATTGTTATGGAAATTAAATGATGTTTGTAACTCTTGTGTAAGCTCAGAATATGAAAAAAGAGTGATATGAAAACAAATGAAAATTTCGTGCAGCCTAGTTTTAACTAAGTTTCAAGTTTGTTATGGCTATCCTTTGAAACTTGTCTTTTAAAGAAAGTGCTCTGTTCGGAAATTCTTTTTGAATATATGGTAACTATGCCTGGTCAATTACTGCGTACTAGATTTTTTTCAACCCTTTTGGACAATATATTTTGAAGGTATGAAATTATGATTTGTTAACTGTTAGAGTGTTTTTCTTTCTGACTTTCTATTTGTAGCAGTTTGCTACTACTAAGTTTCATGTGAGAGTGGGCTTCATTGCTGTAGTTCTTAGACCTCCCTGCACTATTGGGCTACTCCTTTTAAGCTGGGCTGTTTTTTCTTACACCTCCATACATTTCAATATGCACCCCTCATAAACTACAGGTTAAATTTGAAATTTACAAGGGTGGAGGATGCAGGATGAAATTATGGAGGTACACAATGAAATTGTCCTTAAGTTGTTGTATTTTGTTTTGGGCCTCGTTGGATATATGAATGAATCAAATAGGTAATTTGTAGATGAACTTTCCAGTTTTCTAATATTCTTCTCTTCTATTGTTTTTTCCAACTTTTTCTAGGAGTGTTAAAATTTAACACATCCTCAAAGTATTTTCTAGAATTTTATGATTAAGTATTTAATCCATACATGATAATTTATAGTCAATTACGGTGTTTTATTATCTTAAAAGTTGGTTTTCATGAAATATGTTAATTTTTTAAGACTAGTTGAATTAAAATTTTAATTCATTTGGAAAGTCATTTCTAGACAAAAGAATGTTTTAGAAAAATTATGTAAAAGAGAGATGTGTAACTGCCATAAAAAATGTGTCCATTTATAAACTATATTTTATATATGATGCCATAAAAAATGTGTCCATTTATAAACTATATTTAATATAAGATGAAGGGACATGATAAGTTTGGTCTAATTTACACTACTACTATTGTCCATACAATCCTTTTACTAAATAACGTGTGTTTCTAATCACGAATCATTATGTTGAACTCATTGTTTATTTATTTATTGTTTAATAATCCTTATTTGCACAGATTCGTGTTAATTAGGTCATCGTATTTTTAAAGAGCTTAATTAAGTTCTTTTTATGTAAAATTGAGTCAATCATGACCTTACCGTTAATTGTTGTGGACGACGTTAAATTTATTGTTTGGTGGCATGCTGAGCTAGCATTTACTAAGTGGCACAGTAAGAGGTCATTACGTGGCAGCCTCCTTTCTCCCAAATTAGGATTCTGCATATTAGGCAAAGGAGCTTGCGTCGCGCCGCATGCGAAGGAGAACGAAGGTGCTGGAAATTCCTCAGTGGTGGCGCGTTGGATGCTGGTGCTTTTTAGAGGTTCGATTTTGAATTTTACGCAAGCAGAAAGAAGCATTGGCTGATGGAAGATGAAGGCATTGCGGTTTTTGTGATTTTGGGAATGATTTGCAGGTTTTTGGATTGTTGTTGGTGGTGAGGCGCAAGAACGAAGATAGGTTGGAGGTTCTGGAATGGACGAACACGCGGGTTAGGGTCTCTGTTTTCGCTTCGCGACTGTGGTTCCCACTTTGCAGGTTGATAAAAGTACGAGGGAGACGATGATTTTGCCCTAGCTCCTGGCAATGTGGTTTTCTGTTGAGTTTCTCTGCGTGGTTTTGCCCTGGCTTCATTGGAAGTTGTTCGTGCTCCAAATCAATTCCAGGTTGGAAATATGTTGCGCGAGTTGAGGGTCGTGGTCGAGGTTATTAAGACTGGGTTGATAACATGATTAAGTCAACTCGGGGCTGAGGCATGGGTTGTTGTTCATGTTGGGTGGGCAGCGGTGATGCTCGAGGAAGTTGAGCCTAGCCTTATCTCTACGGATGCGTACGGCGACGGCAGCGTAGGCGCGTGGGGCTTCTTCTGCAATGGCGAAGGTGCCAAGCCACATGCGAACGCCCTTGCGTGGATCCCTTATTTCCACAGCCCACTTGCCCCACGACCTTCGCCTGATTCCTTTGTGAGTATTCTTCCGTACTAGTGCATCACCCTTCTCTGCAATTACTCTGCTATTCTTGACCTTCTCACATGTCTCCTCCACTACATCAAAGTCAACAACAATCATGATAATGCCAAAAATTATAATTAGTGAGAAGAAAAAGGTGTTACCTTTGTTGAGTGTGGAAGAAGAGGTGGCATTGAAAGTGTGGAGCTGAGAGAAGAGGTGATGGGTGGTGGATTCTGGAGCATTCTTGATATGAAGTTCTATGAAATCAGAGATGACAAAACCACCACACATTTTGATTTGAGAGAGTGTGTAAGAAAAATGAATTGAATGAGAGGAAGCTTCGTGATGGTGTGTCAATGGAGGAAGCGTCGCGTTTCTGGGTTGGTTATAAAGGACATCGCGACCTAATTTGGGGTTGGTTCCTGGTGGCGGGTTGGCAGCAAGACGTTGATTCCACGTAACCTGCACATCATTAAAAATTGTGCAGTCAGCAACATACAAATTATGTACAGTAAATTTAATGACAATGTCATAATTGACTCAATTTTACATAAAATGGATTTAATTGAACTCTTTAAAAATACAAGAATCTAATTAACACGAATATGTACAATTAAGGACCTTCGAAATAATTAATATTTATTTATTTATGACTATGGCTCAAACATGCACATCTTTACTAGCTGTTTAAACTTAAGTGCATTCAGTTATACAGGAGTTTTTTCTATCTAAGCTATATATTAATTATATATAACATGTTAAGGAAATTATTTTTGAAAAATCTGGTGTTGAAATTCCATTTTCGTCCTCCATCATTGTTCTCATTATCAACTACTAAAATTCAACTTAATTAATTAATTAATAGATGACGTACTTAACTTCCTATCTTGAAGGTCTAATATATCCTCTTTATATAATTAACCCACTGGTCAATCCAATAATGATTATGTTTTATTAAAGCCTCCAACTCAAGGAAGTATGTTACTGTAGAGTTTGAATGGACATTGACAATCTCCAAGTGGAGTTTCCCTGTAATGTTGTGTCATAATGACACTTGTTGTCAAAGAGTCCTAGTCATCATCTTTATGATTAGCAATGTGGGACAAATTAAATATAGAATTAGAGGATGAAACACATAAATGGAAATAGAATTGAAAATCATATTGAAATTTTTAACTAACTTCTTTAATTAGATTGAAAATATCATTTTTCCTGAGGTCTATTTAAGATATTATCAACTTTGTTATCATAAATATAACCTGTTTACTTCACAGGAATTAAATTTATTAATTGTCTAATATTTACATTCTAAGCTAAATGTATAATTATTCAATAATATGGTTTACAAAATAAAAAAGAATGTGTGTCCAAATCTATCTAAGCTTTTCTATTTCAATCTATAACATTCTTTTCCACCTAGCAAATATACTCACTACAAAAAAAAATAAAAAACTTATCAAAGTAGGTTATTTAGCATTAGAATCAATATACATTATAATTGTATTCATTTCAAAATCAAAGAAACTTTATTTAAACTATTGTCATGCATTATACATCAGTCTATTATAATATACACAAATTAGAGATATTAAATTAATACTTTTCGAAAACATTTATATTAAACATGTTAACATTTGACTCATTTTAAGTATTTAAGGTTAATAAACCTTTATAGATGTTTTAATTTATAAACCTTCAAACAAAATTGTACATTAATATATGAACTTGTCTTCAACTTCTCACTATGATATTTTAATTTATATGATTTACATTATCATTAAATTAGATATAACTCTCTCGAATGATAACTTCTTGTACTTAACATTTTGAATAGTTAATTATATTTTTATTTATAAACTTTCAAGCGAAATTACATTTCTCATAAATTTTATATTAATTTCATTCCTACATTTTATAAATGAATTAATGTATGACATCTTGACAGCTAACTATATTAAACCATTTATCATTAATAGAATAACATTTCATCCAAATCAACGATAATGTCAAATCCTATATAAACTATTTAATACAGTTGTTTGTCAAAAATATCATACATTCATTCATTATATATCATTTCAAATATATAACCATTTGAATAATAATACTATGAAATACATATTCATAATTCATAATTTCTAACCATTTAGAACCAAACAAATTAATTTAATGAGAAAAACCATCTTAATTGCTCTCAAATCTAATGCAGGGAAAAACATGAAAGAAAGGAAAATAAAAAAAGAAAAGAAGAAAGAAAAAAAGAGAGTTTAGACCATGTTCTCACATATTGATTGTGATTGACATTTAAATAGAATATGTAGTAATATTAAACTTATGGTGAGATGTTAGGTAATAAGAATTCAGTACTCAACCAAATAAAATAAAATAAAAAATATCGTTTTTGGATTTTCATTTATCTGTTTTCTTAATCAATTTTTAGATTGTTTTAACAATTTAAAATAGTTTGGCTGGTTGTATGATTATCATGGAATTATATTCTTTCAATAGGTAGATAAGAGTAATGTTAAGTCTGTACTTACAGAAATTGAGAACTATATATTGTCGTTAGCTTGATTAGAAACCAATTTGAGTGTTTTTTTAAAATTTATAAACTAAATTGAGTTTTTCTTTTTTCAAGAACAAGTTAGAGCACCTAACAGAAAGATCAAATCTAGTTATCAACCCTTTAAATAGTAAGTTTTTAACCGATACTTCACCAGAAACATAATATTTCTGTTGGTTTTAAAGTTTAATAATTTCTCTTTTGTTCTTTGGCAGTAAAAAAACAGTTTGACACTTTTTCAACATATAGTTAAGTTCTAAAAGTGTCTCTCTTAAATATCGCACATCACCATTCTTAAATTCATGTCTGTTTGGTTACTGTCTTAGTCAAGTTTGTCACTTTGCCACACATATTATTAAGTTCCACGTCTCCTATTTGAATTTATGAATACAAAACTTGCACGCCATTTCATAATATTCATTGGACAGTTTTCAATTAAATTTAAAATCTCATCCATATATTAACATTTGACAAATATTTTGTACTTAAATTTATGTATTTTTTATAGATAAAGTTTTAAATATAGTTAAACAATAACTATTCTAGTTGGTTTTTTTGTATTTATATATTTTTATCCTTATATATATATAAACTAATTAGACTAAGTGAAAAGTAATGATGTAATTGAAAAATAATTAATATCATTTTAAACTTTGAAATGATAGAGAAATAGAAAGAAAATGTTTAAAAATTTCCATTTAGACAGAAACAGGGAGTAGGTAGGAAGACATGGATACAGGGATAACTAAATATCTATGCATTAATGATAACAAATTGTCTTTGTTAGATTATATAATATTAATGTTATTAATAGTTTATTACATTACACCAACAAAGTGCCGTTGGTAGTTGGATTTCTCTAGTTTTAGAAAGAGATTCCGCAGAAGAGGAAGCGTGTGGTGATCTGATTGTGGGAGAGAGGATCATTGCCAATTGTCCCTTCATCGTGAAACTCATGGCATGAAAGAGATCGTTTCGTTTTCATAACAAATAAAATGAATGAACATTTCAGCTCTAATTTTGAATAATTTTGATGAACTGAGTTTCTCTTCCAATCTATTCTCCTTTATTCAAATCCTTTGATTCCATTGCTTCATTTCAACACACCCTTTTGATTGCCTACCCTTCTGTTGCAACTCTTGTGATCTCTTTTATTTTCTATGGACCCAAAAGAATTATGCTCCACAGATTTAATTGATGGTCAGTGTTTTCTTTTTGTTGCTCTCATTCACATGCACATACAGTGTTTCTTTATGCATTGCTTTCTTATATGGCCTTTTGCTTTTTCTCTCTCTCTTTTTTCCGTTACAAAGACAAGGTTTAACTGTTTTCAGACTTTGTAGGAAGTTGGTTTCCCTTTAGTTAACCAAACCACTTTGATTATGAGACTTGATTTAGGGATCAAACGGTCCTAAGGGGTGACATTTGAGCTACATCTCTTAGCTGTTCGATTTAATGTCTAGAACATTTAGGTTTTACCTTTTTCTTGCTGAGGATCTTGTCATTAATATATCTCAATATAACAGTAATATTGTGCATGGATGGTAATATTTCTGAATGCTGAATGTCCTCTCAGTGATTTCAAACTTGTACGTAGAATGCCTTTTGAATAATTAAGATCTTAATCATGCTGCATTGTAGATGCTTGCTAGGAAAATAGTTTTTTGCTGTTGTTAGGTTTCCCAGGTAGTGTGACTGTCAAATTATGTTCTTTTTGTGGTTCACTGTTATGTTCAGGTGCTATTTCTTCTCTCCTTCCTTCAATTTTAGGGAAAATATAAATAACATGACAGATAGGTTCCAGTTACGATGGGTCACATTCTGTTTCGTATGATATGATTGCACTTGTTTCAGTTGGTCTATTTGTCAATTTCAATTTCAAACTTCCATTTTGAAAGAAAAAGCGAGAAATAATTTATTTGAAGAATTATTTCATTTAGAAGTGAAATTGCTTTATCAATTCAATATCCAATTTGTTGTTCTAATTTCGGAGACCATAAATTGCTGAAAAAACCTAATATCGTGTAGTTCTATTTAAAATGAACAAAATTGGGTGGCAATTTCCAGTGTTACTATTTCAATTTTTGTCAGAGGAATAAACATGAACTTTAAACCTCACCAAGACACATAGTACTGTTCTTGAAGTTTGTAGTGTCAAGTAAATGAATATTATAAAACTTTATTATTGTAAAACAGAAAATTAACTCTCTCTTTTCTATATTTGTACATATCCTTTATGTCTGCACATTATTTGAGTGAAAGCCCCTTGTTTCATTTCTTAGTTGTTTGGAAGTGATCACTCTTTGAACTTGCACTTTAAAATTAAGAAGAGGAAATAGAGAACAATAAATCTTTCCTTTAACCAAAGTAACGTATTCGTTTGGATGAGGTAAAATTGAGGGAAATGTATGGTTCTGTAGTGATCTGATATAGTGTGAGAGCATTGTAAACAAGGATCTAGATTCTTTAGTGGAATGCAAATTAAACTGTTTAACATGGCTTGTCTAAGAAACTTTAGAGTAGTGTATTTATGTGAATCTTTCAAGAAGACAAACTATGATGCAAAATACTATTTTTGTATTGGTGGTTCAATATCTATGTTTTCTTACTTCTTGTTCTCTCATCTCTTTGAAAAGTAAGAGATATTTTGCACTGTGTATTTCATAAAGAACCTTTTTCCTTTGTGATTTTGGTATCCACCAGGTACTGTTGGTGCACACATCAAGAGGCCATGCAATTCTCTTCCAACAGTTATTGTCATTGGTGCTGGAATATCAGGAATTGCTGCTGCACGAAGTCTCTATGATGCATCTTTTAAGGTGGCTATATCATTATTGTCTGATTCATCTTTATTTACTTAGTCTTTCAATTTCTCTAATTAGGTCTGGGAAAGATTTTGTTTTTGTTGCTTTTTGCTTTGTCTCATTCTCGTCATTTGATAGGTAATTGTTCTGGAGTCAAGGGATAGGGTAGGTGGCAGGATATATACTGATTACTCATTTGGCTGTCCTGTAGATATGGGAGCCTCATGGTAAGTTCTACTTGAACTACATTTTCTTTTGTTGCTAAAACAGTTTCAGAAATGGAAGATGAGCTGAACTTGTGAACCTTGTTCACCATCTTCTAACTTGTCATTCATTAATTGGTGTGCTCGTTGTAGGTTCTTAGCCTTACTGCACCAACTTCCTAGATATTCTGAGATGGAAAAATATCACCTTCCTCTTATTGCCAATTTTCAACCCTTCTGTTATATGGTTTGGTCCAGACAAATATCCATCCTCAATGAAACAATGTGTGCAGTTTGCTAAAAGTGTGAACTGCAACTTGGCGGATTTTTTCCCAATAATTCTACTACATTAGTCTCATAGCTTAAGAGTCGAGTTGAAGTACAATTTAATAAAAGATTTAAAGCTTCTAAGCATCAATGTTGATATGAAGTTTCCAATCTAGTAATAATGAAAATAATAGTGCTAATATTTTGTGTGTTCTGGTCATTTCTAAATTATAGTGGTTACTTAGATAGTGGCTTTTCTCTCGTCTTTTAATTTTCTTCATACTCGCGAGGCTTAAAATTCACCTTGTGAGCCTTTACTGAAATTTGTTTCAAAAAGTCATTCTGAAAGCTAAATGCATTTTCAGATTCTTATGCGGGAAGAAAATTTTGCTGACAAGGATACATATGCTGGAAAACATTCTGTAAAGATGTTTGAGATTGTGAGGAAATACAGTTTTTATCGTGATAAGTGAAATATGGCCTATCCAGTTGTTTGCACTCTTCAAATCACCACACTGTATTTTTTAAATGTGAAGCAACGAAACGAGTCAGAAGTCAATAACTTTGCTTCTATTTTACTGAATATTTCTTGATTATTTTCCAGGCTACATGGTGTTTGCAATGAGAATCCCTTGGCACCAATGATACGTGGTTTAGGGCTAACATTATACCGTACCAGTAGTGATAACTCTGTCTTATATGATCATGACTTGGAAAGGTAATAATTTAGATTTCTCCTCCAAGTTTCTGCAAGATTGGTGTATAGCATGAGCCTTAACCTTTTATTATGCCTAGACAGTTCTAAAATCTGCTTCTCAACTTATGATTTTCTAACGAGTGTAGAACGTCTGAAACTTTTGCAATTGTACTACTTTGCTTTTTAGTAATGCTATTTCATCGTTATAGCTGTATGCTATTTAACATGGATGGTCATCAAGTCTCTCAACAAATGGTAATGGAAGTTGGAGACACTTTCAAGAGAATTCTAGCAGAGGTGAGATCTTTGCTGCATATGGCTTGTGTTTCTCCTTGATCATGAAGGAAATAATGATTATCTTAAACTTTAATCTATTGGTTTTCTTGTGATATTTCTAGACAGTGAAAGTGAGGGAAGAGCATCCTGATGACATGTCTATTCTCCAAGCAATTTCAATTGTGTTAAATAGACATCCGGAACTAAGGTAAGAGATTGATAAGAGCACATATTGTATATAAGCACTGACTTGAAGTTTCCATCTATCAGTGTAACATGGCAGTTTTCTTCAGGCAACAAGGGCTAGCTCATGAAGTGCTGCAATGGTATATATGCAGAATGGAAGCTTGGTTTGCTACTGATGCAGATATGATATCACTGAAAACCTGGGATCAGGCAAGTGCCATCATATTAGTCACAAGATTCTCTTTGCCTTAAACTTCTACGTGTGTCGTTTTCTGTTCTTTCAGACTTTAGTGTGATTTCATTATGAAATCTCGTTTACCTCTCTTTTTTTTTTTTTTAACTTTGTACTCATTTGGGTACTGGTATGAAAAATATGTATCTGTTTTTGTATTTTTCTTCTATAGAAGTCTTTGCTGAACAAGCTATATTTACGCATGACACTTATGTGTTACCTTCTTAGGCCCTTGATTCATCGCAGTTATTCCGTTGGTTGAAGTGATAAAATTAAAACCAGGGTTCCGTCTGTATGTACAAGATGAACTTGGCGTTGTTTAGTATTCAATTGAATGCTAGTATTGCTCTTGTTCTTGGTTTTCGTACAGGAGCATGTCCTCACTGGTGGCCATGGACTCGTGGTGCAAGGATATGATCCTGTTGTAAAAGCTCTTGCAACTGATCTCGATATACGCTTAAACCACAGGTTTTCTGTATAATTTATTGCACGACCTAGATATATGATTTGATACATAATCGTTTTCGTGATTTGTGTCAGAACATGCAAAAAAGAAAAGAGAAAACTACAATTTATGTGGAATTATTTATTATCATTTTTGGTGACTTCTATCAATAAGAAACGCATACCAATTTTTTCTGTCCCTCTCATGGGGTGATTAGGGGTGAAGATTTTACCCTTTTTGTGAAACCTCATATGTAGGGTGACCAAAATATCCAATGGTTACAACATGGTGATGGTCACAGTTGAGGGTGGCAGAAACTTTGTTGCTGATGCTGTTATTCTAACTGTTCCTATTGGAATCCTTAAGGCCAATTCAATTGAATTTACACCAAAATTGCCTGAATGGAAGGCTGCAGCAATTAAAGATATTGGTGTGGGAAATGAAAACAAAATTGCCTTGAGATTTGATAGAGTATTTTGGCCTAATGTAGAAGTTCTGGGCATGGTGTCACCCACCTCGTATGCCTGTGGTTATTTTCTCAATCTCCACAAAGCAACAGGTCATCCAATTCTTGTGTATATGGCTGCTGGAAGGTTTGCTCATGACCTTGAAAAGCTATCTGATGAATCAGCTGCAGATTTTGTAATGCAAAAGCTCAAGAACATGTTTCCTCATGCATCTAAGCCTGTAAGTTCACCTCTCATGCCATGTGTCTCATTTCTTTACTCTCTATATCCACTTTCATGATCCTGGATTGAGTTTTGATGGACTATTGCAGGTTCAATATCTTGTGTCACATTGGGGAAGAGATCCAAACTCTCTTGGCTGTTATGCATGTGATTTAGTAGGGAAGCCAGACGATGTGTATGAGAGGCTTCGTGCACCATTGGGTAATCTATTCTTTGGTGGAGAAGCTGTGAGCATGGATGACCACCAGGGATCTGTGCATGGAGCTTACTCTGCTGGGGTCATGGCTGCTGAAAATTGTCAGAGACATCTTCTGCAGAAACAAGGCCACAGAGAAAATCTCCCTCTGGTTTCTTCTGTTAGGCATGAAATGTTTGAAACTACTATACCTCTTCAAATCTCTAGAATGTGATTTGTGTACCTTCCTGTTCTTGAAAATAAGAACAATGTTCAGCAGAATGAATTGCTGATTAGAGTAATTGCACATTGTAGTTCAACTTAAACAATGGCAAAATATTATCAAAGCTAACTTTTATTCATAGAGAAATTCATTTCGTTTTTCTTTTCTCTCAATAGTAATTCTAAAGAAGCTATCCAAACCTGATAATGTTTAGCTCTCAGCACCACAAATTCCCTCTAATTTACCTTCGGTAAAATATTGGCCACGACATGTACAATGTATAAAAACCTTTTATCAGTCTTCTTTTGTTACATTCCAAAATGAAAGGGAGTGCAAGTTTTTTATACGATGAAAAAATTAACCAAAATTAAATATTCTCTAACCATTAAACAAAATAATTATAAAGTAAAATTAATTATTTCTATAAATTAATATCCTATAGCATACAAAAGGAAGAGTGTTATCCATGAATGTCCAAAAATAGTTGTTAAGAAGTCACTAAGATTGAGTTTGTAGTGTGAACTTTGAGCAATTTGATTAGGTTATAAATTTATCACATTATCATTCTTGCCCCCAAAATATTATTCATTAAAAACATTTAATAATTAAAAAATAGATAGAGTATACGTGCCCATAATCCTTATGATATTAAAAATGCAATTTGTTACCCATCTATTATATGTCCTTTAATATTTTTAACTTAGAAAATAAGAAACACACTATTTCTTTATCCTAATAAATTAGTTATAATTTTCTTCTTCTTTACTCTTTTTTAATTTTTGCTTTACAATAAAATTAAATGAAAATCAAAATGAAGATATGATTGATAAAGAAATATTTAATGTTGCATTGACTTTTAAAAATGATATATAAATAAAATAAAAGTATTTGAGCATTTCAAAACGTGAAAAGAGGTGGTCGGTGAGTTTTGCGGGTGCGTAAAACATCCTAGATGTAGAGAGTTATTCTCTCCGCCACCACACACACACGGCTACTTACATTTTCCTAACATTTTTTTAATTCTAATAATATCATTTTTAATTTTATTTTTTATTTTTTTTTATTTTTTTCTTAAAACTTTAATTTTTTACTTTCTTATTCACTTAGTTACACATCACATCCCACCCCCCACATCCTTTACCTTTTTTAATTTTTTCTTAAAATTCTAATATTTTATTCTCTTATTCACTCACAGCACTTCCACTTTCACACTCTTACTTTCTCTCTTTCTCTCTTATTCTCCTCTTTCTCTTTTCTCAATTTCCCATTTTCGTCAAGGTTATATGTGAACATGTGTTGAGTGTTGTGTGTGTTGGGTCCTGCTATGTGTCTCCGTTCTGTGTTAAATGAAGAAGAAAAACGCGAAAGGTGGCAATGAATATTGGGTATCCATAAAACACTTAAACACATCTCGAAATATGTCCACAGATATTGACATCTGTTTACCCTTCAACGGATGACGATATCCGACGACGATGGATTCCGATATCCGTTTAAGTGTTCTACGGATACCCCATATCCGTTTAAGGATACTGAACTCTGTATTCACATGGGAACATTCTGCTTGGCACCACCACTGGACCATCTTCGACTACCACAATAGCATAGTTAGAGGGGAGAAGAAGCAAGGAAATCTGATTTCCATGAGAGTGCTTGGATGTGGGGTGGTGAAGAAAGTAACACTCTTAGCTGTATTATGTCAAAGTCAAATATTTAAGGACCCTCAATTAAATCCTTATTTAAACATTTTCTTTTTGCACCCATGTTTTTCACATACATTTCCATAATTTTTAAATACCAAAAGTACCCTTCTGGAAATAGTTTTAGGCAGCAAAGTGATGGAGGTTTTTACCCAATGTGTTTTGAACATTATGGTGTATTTTTTAGAGCTGTCAAAATGGGTCACAACCTGTGGGCCAACCCGACTCACCATGGGTTCGGGCCGGGTTGGGTTTGAAAAAAATTGTATTTTTTTATGCGGATTAGATTTCAACCCAGCTCATTTAAACCCCGCTCATGCGGGTTGAACCCATGATGAGCCGGGTTGGCCCACCAACCTACCTACCTGATTTTATTTTATTAAAATTTAATTTTAATTTTATAAAAAATATTTATTATTATTTTTTGCTTGAAAATATTATTTAAGTTCTTTATTTTCAAAATTAATTAAACACCCGTATTGGGAGTGAAATGTGTTTAGATTTAAATTATAAAAAGTTTGTAATTATTTTTTATTTAAAAAAAATTGTAATTAAGTGAGCTAGTGAACCAACCTGTTTACCTACCAACCCGTAGTGGGTTGGGCCAGGTTTAGATTTTTCTGACTTGCTAATAAATGAGTCAGGTTAGGACCAATCTGTGGTGGGCCGAGCCGGATGATCCTTTTTGACAGCTCTAATATTTTTAATTACTGTTGGTGGTGATTGGTGATGGTTTATGGGTGTTGGTAATGATTCACGGTGGTTTCTAGTGGTGGTGGGAGGTAGCGGCTTTGAATTGCTTTGTTGGTGAGTTTATGATTTGCGGGTTTTTTTTAAGTGCAATTTGAAACTTCTTTTTTTTATTTTTGTACATTCTAGAGTGCGAATTTATTTTAGTTTACGAAATATATTTTTTTAAATGTAGCACTATTGAATCTAAAGATGAAATCCCAATTTTAGATGATAGATAAGTTGTCATACATGAAAGAGTCTAGTGAAGTTTTTTTTGCAAGTTCAAATGATTTAGTTGAATAAGATTGTGTTAGACCTTTTACAATAGAAGATATAAATAAAAATTCATTTATTTTTGTGTAATAAATTTGACATGTCATGTAGTTATATTGTAATGTACTTGTATAGGTATTTTGTACGTAAAATGAATTAATTCAATAGGTGTAGAGTGATTACTTAATTAGTTTTATGATTATCGTATTAATTTGAGAAAATAAATGGACAATAAATAAGGAATACACATGTGTTGTTAGCTGTAGTAAATATAGAAAATACAAAAAATTATATAAAAGTGATTGTAATTGATACAAAAGAATTTGATTGTCCTTTTAAACTTAATGGTAAATTTGTTCTTAATAGAAAAGTTTGAATATTAAAAATAATATATTGCATTCGTAGTCATGATTGATACATTAATTGATCACTCATGTTAGTATATTAAAACGGAATAAGTATTTTATTATTGTTTACATAAAAAAAATCTAGTAAACCCAAGAAATATATTACATAAAACTATAATAATGAAAAAATGTCACGGATACAGAGATCTACAACTAAAATGCAATATTATTTGTTAGAATATATAAGTATATCCATTAGTATAAGTGTGATAAGTCTTTGTCTATGTTTAATTGTTGCAATAGAACAACCACTCTGTATTAGATACAAACAAATTCTCACAGAATAAAAAAGAATAAAAAAGAGTTGAACATAAATTTATATATACATAAAAAGTTTTTTATGTGGAACAAAAAATAAATCTATTCAGATAATATTTTATTAGTGTGCCGATATATATATATATATATATATATATATTAAATCTTCCAAACATCATGCACACTGACTTGGAGAAGGAGAAGAAAAATTGTGTTTTTATTTATTTTTAGATTAAGGTTACAATGAACATTTCATCACCGCCATTTGGGTGCAGGTGGAAAATATGGGGTGTAGTAAGAAACTGCCCCTTATTTGTCCTTGACCCAACACAAACAAAAACTAATAATAAATAATGATTTGCACGCATTTTCTGCGTTTGGTTGGAGACAGGAGCCAGAAGCTTGTCGATCAACTAGCCACACAATAACCAGGACGATGAGGATCTTCGGAAAACACGTTTTCCCGAGCCAGATTATACTTTTTGCTTCTGGGTATGTATGCATTTGTTCTACTTCAATTCAATTCTCTAATAAATTTCAGTTCTAATACTTCCTAATTCCGTTAAATTGTTCCTTATAAACGCGCTTAAACTTGCAAACCATAACAGGCTTTTGTTCTTTGCATCAACAACCTATGATGTCCATAGATCCATCAAGAACAACCAAACACCCCCTTCCCAAGAGCAAGTCAAAGCCCTTCAAGACTACATCGAATCTGCGCGTCGCTCCCGTTAAATCAACGGCATGTATTTTGCCACGTCATCTTATCAACACATGCTTTATAATGTGAACTTCACATTCTTGGCATATGAGCATCTTTATTTTGACGTTAGCTTATAAGTAATCAGTTTTAGTTCCACTAAACAAAATATAAAAAATGGCCCATGCAGGTTTCGAACCTGCGACCTTCGCGTTATTAGCACGACGCTCTAACCAGCTGAGCTAATAGGCCTTCTTGTTATAAGTGATGTGTTCTCTGAATTTATCCTATTCAATCATTTAAACATTCTCCAAATTTCATGTAATGTCTGGAAAGTGTATCTTTAAAAAACAATTATCAATTTTCCATCTGTCAAATAACTTGCAGCAGTGTGACTTTAAAAGAGGATTTAAATGAAAGATATTTTGTAATTATTTTTGTGTATGCACTTTTTTATCTCTCTTATTATCCTTTGTTTTATTATGTTGTTTTATCAATTCTTTAGTTTCCTGGTCCACAATAAACTATACATGTAAAAATGGAAGTGTTTTTATTATAAAATTAAAATAATTACTGGAAACTAAAATATTTTAATAACTAATTTTTTATACATAAAATCGAAAGTGTTCACATTCTACATTTTTTATCGTTTTGCAATTACTTTTTATTGTAACCATAGTAATATAAAAAGTTGTTATAATCAAATTATAATCATTAGAAACATTCCAATTAAATTATTTTTCATCTAAAATACAAGTTGCTTTTTCATGAGGTTATTATTTAATTGAAACACTTCAAAGTATGGTTGTTGTAATGGAAATGTCAATTTGAAAGCTTTCCAATAAAGTTTAGCAAATTTCAATTATATAACAATAAAGTAAGTAAACGTGGGTCGGTTAAAATAATACATAACTAGCATCAAAGTGATCTATAAAAAAAAGGACAACATATTAATCCAAACTTCTTTTTCATAAAAAGGGGAGCATGAATATCAAAATCCAATAGTAACTAAAATTATGCCTTATTTGACTATATACAAATTGCGCTTTTGCATTTTCTGTGGCTTTCCTAAATCCATTCTTCCACCTAACATTATATGGCATTGGATTTAGGTTTTCATTACAGGAGATAATACTTTTGATGGAGGAACCATAGATCTAGCAAAAGCAACTGGCAAGGAAAGAAACTTCTTGGCTTTGCCCACATAAGCCCTCCTGGTGAAATTGTTGTAATCATTAGCTTCAATCTCGTCCAAAATCTGGCGATACAACAGCAAGGACGCCCATACCTACAAATCCCACAGAACCCTTTTGTGTTCACATGTCAAACTAGTTAAATAATGCATGAAAGGCTTCACCTTTTTCCATTTTGGTTCTAGAATTGCCATAATCTTTCTAGGAGTGTGTATTCTCACTTGGGTAGCCCTAAAAAATTTATTAGTTCACAATCAACTTTACACTGTTATTATATTGGAAAAATGTAGTTACAATGACGTCACTCCATTAGAACACCCTACAAACTCGTATGCAGACACCTAAGAGCATAACCAATTATAAATATATTTTGACACTGACTGCAAAGCTTTATCTCTTGGATTAAAGTTCAGATTTTTAAATTTGTTTGTGTGACTATCATTGTTAAAGAAATATTTTGACCAAGAAAATGTTTCGTCAAGCTTCCACAGGCCCACCCCATTGATTCTGAAAAGGTTTTGCATGTGTCCACTTTAAAATTTGAATAAACCAACAATTTGATCTTTCAAGTATCACTAAGTAGTCCCTAAATAATAAAAGTACTGAAATGATTCCCAGAGTATGAATATCCATCACTTTGATTCCTCCTGTGTAAACATATTTTACTATATCCTCCAAGGACCATTTTGAAGGGTTTTTCAAATTTTGCAGATTATGAATCTTGATTTCTAATACTTAAAATACTTTAGGGACCATTTAGGAGAGAGGAAAATACTTCAAGGATGCATTGATGATTATTTCTTAAAATCTCAGGCAGAGAGAAAAGGTTTTATAAAACGATAAATGTTGGAATTTCATACCGGCCATCTGCTAGCTTCATTAAGCTCCGTCACTCCCTTTTCTGCCTCATCAAAGAACATTCTAGCCCTTTTTATTTGGCTCTTCATGAAGTTCCTCCACTTGTCTGTCACCTTACCAGCAAATATGTCATCATCTGAAAGCCCTGCTTGAGCCAACTCATCTTGAGGTAGATACACTCTTCCTCTGCTGGCACTGTTGAAAATGAAAAGGGTTTAACCAAATTAAGATGCAGATTCATTCCTGAAATCAGTATCAGAATAAACTAACATGGTATCCTAGAAGCATATTTTGGTATTAGTTCCAGTATAATTTTTCATTTTTCAGCCACCTATTTATTTTTTTCTCTACCTTCAGGTTAGACACTATAGAGTAGTAAATCCTAACAAATCACACAAGCATATTCAAGTTTTATGGACCGGAGAAAGGATAAAAACAACCTGAAACTCAAACCAGACATAGCATGAATTGCTTTCAGTGAGTTACCAATAAAAGAAACTCCTACACAAGTTTTGACTAGTCCAGAACAAGAAGCAACAGAAAGCGTTGCTGATCTTGAACATTGATGCAAAATACTGCATCTAGTATACATCTCATGCTTTTATTTTAACTTTTTGAGACGGTAAAGTCCAGCTATCATGTGTATCAATAAGGTGATATGCATCTCATAATCATCAAAACTCAAGTTAGACATTGACATATAATGGTCTGATGGACAATACCAAAATGGTTGCAGTGTGAGAAGTAAACTTCACAATCTTGATTCTACAAGTATTTTCTTCATAATCTTTCTAAAGACTTGAATAAACATGAATATTTACGGACTTACTCCTCTCCAACATCTCTTAGTATGTTGGTTAACTGATTTGCAATTCCCAGGGCCAAGGCAGCATTGTAAACACTCTCAGTTGTGGCTTGTGAATATGGAGAAATGCCCATGATTGGAACACTCATTATACCGACTGTCCCAGCAACATAGTAACAGTAAAGATATAGTTCATCAAAGTTTTTGTATCTCGACTTCTTAAGATCCGTTCTCATTCCTTCTATCATATCTTTAAATGGCTGCATGGACATGAATAAAAGAGTTGAAAAATATGTCCTCCAAAAATGAAGATGAATATATTAAACTCAAGTATATTGTAAGTAATGAAACATGACTAATGGTTTCACAAAAGTCATGTGAGGGGCACATGAAATACCTTGGCGGTTTACAAGATGTTTATAGTAAAGACATTCTCAGAAAAATTTAAACAACATTTCAAAATGAGCAACCGCTATATAAGTTTTTTATCCAAGGACTCAAAGATTGAAATGTAGTATAGAAATGAATTTAAGAAACAAAGAGATTAGTATCATGAGCAGCTCAGAACTCTGATTCGGACAACACAGCAAGAAAATTTTGGACACAGTGCATATTTGCCAGTTTTTTCACCCTAAAAGTATGCATTGGAAGGTAAAACGTAGATCTTATGAGTGAACAAATGAAAGAGTTCAAAGCAAGCAGAGGTCGATCTCATCAAAGACTAAATAAATTAAGGAAAACTGTGATGTGATAATAATGTAAAAGTAAAGTATGTAAAAATAATACAAAAGATAGTAATCACCTCCAAAACTCCAATTGTTTTAAAACACACACAATTCATATTACGCAACATATGTCTGTGCATAGATTAGCAATGAATTTCCCGCAAATATCTTAAATGATTAAGGAAATGGATCCGTACCTGGATATCAACAGGAAATCTGGCAACTGTATCAGATAAAGCAGCATCGAGCATATCAAATGGACGACCTTGAAAAAGTTCTTCCAGTCTTGATTCCCACCTATCCAAAGCACTTGGTGTAATTTGTGAAGCATTAGGGCCATCAACAAGTTCATCTGTTCTCCTGCACCACACTGAAAAACAGGGATCAATATAAGGCAATTGAGTAGTTCGCGTAACAGTATTGCACGATCATGTGACAAAAGATATATAATAATACACTACAAGATAAAGCAAAAGCAGATTTTATTCACTAAGGAATTCATGAGAGCTACAACAGTTTACCCATCTCCTTCCAATTTTGGTTATCAAAATGAACATCGAGATTTTGACAGCTGGAAATGTCTAACAATTTAAGCATTCGGTCAGAGATTAGAGTAAGACAGCAGTGCTATTGCAGTTTTATCATCTGAAGGTGAAAGCTTCATTATTGATTGCTCACTTTAAAGGTTTGTCAATTTATAGTGCACATAAGAGAATTAAGTTCTCATTTACATATTTGGTCAGATACATTTTCATGTAATGATTTAGTTTCACCAAGGAATGGACATTGTCACGGGTTCCTTTGAAATTTAGAACGAACATAGACAGATCTTTTCAATTTTTGAGGACTAATTCAAACATCTACGTTTTAAAATCAGAATAAATGCTAATTGAAAAACCAAATTTTCAAGCCTGAAGACCTAGAGCGAAACAAGTCTGCTAGTTCTTGTTTCAAACATAAACTACCCTGAAAGTTTCAAAAAGATTTTATCAAGTATATAATTAGTCAACATGCTTTCTAGTGACCAAAACTTTGTTTCTTGCGCTTTTAACTTCTAAGTTAAATACTGCAATTAGATATGGAATTTTGATCCAAACTGAGTAACAATGAACCATCTTAGTGCATTCTAAAAGCAAAAAATTATGTTGTTACAACATGTCTCATGTCAAGAAAAGTTTGTGAAAAGTCTTCCTAAAGTATCTGCTTGAGGTGATTCCAACAGTACTGTAAGAGAAAGAAATCCTAACCAAATAAGCATGATCACTCACCATATATTGCCCAGATAGCTCTTTGCCTTTCGGGAGTCATTAGGAGAGTTCCTGCAAAGACAAAAGCCCATGTAAATTGGACTCAAACCATGCCACAAACCCAAATGAAATCTGAGGTTGACATCCTCACATGAAGGAAAGATAAGAGAAAGCTAACCCAGGTAAAACGTCTTAGCGTATTCTGCACAAACTTCTCCACAACGATCATATGCTTCACTCAACAAGCTCAAATTCCCAGGCAGAGCAATATCTGGTCTTGCGTCAATTTCACCCTTAGAGCCAAACTTCCTCTTAACCAAAGATGCCTGCTTCAACACCACATCATAGACCTTCTGCTCTGATGAAACAGCCACTTCTCCCGCTGCTGGGTTTGCTAGCACATTCGCTACCATAGGGAAGTTGCTAGCACGTTCTATGCCAGACCGTCCAACACACGTATACTTCATGTCTGTACTCAAAGAGTAAAATCTCCATCTCCTCTCCCTATCCTTCGCTCTAATCGACCTATAATCTTGAGACATAACCTTCGAA